TACACGTGCCATAACTATGCAGAGCTTTCTCTTTAGCCACTGCCATGCCACGCCACCCGCCATTCTATATGGCAGACTCAATAAGACAGCAGATGCGGCTAGACATTGCCCTTGTGAATCTGGATGTGTTGAGATGGTCTTACAAGTTTTGTTGCAATGTCACTTTTATGTAAATATACGCTCTAAATATCCAAACTCTATATTGGCCAACATGATGGGTTTTTCAGAGTCCCATAAAGTTTACAGATTTTTGAATGATGCCTCTGTTGAAGTAACTGAGAAAGTGGCTAAGTTACTTCAAACCGCCATGCTGCTGCGCCAAGGAAAAGCACAGTTGTAGCCTATTATTTTATTCAATGTATTTGTAATACAGTGTCCTACTTGCATACTTTTATAAGAACTTTGTTCTACTGATATATGCCAATAAAGGCTGACTTGACTTGCCTCCTAATGTTGTTGTTGCAGCATTCTAAAAACTTACAGAAATATATCTGAATCATGAAAGTGGAGCCTTGGAGAGCGTGGTGACGTGTGGCGCAGCGTGGCGGAGCCACCTGTGGACAGTAGCCGGAACAGCAGCCAACACAGAGCCATGTGCCAAGACGAGACCTGCCAGAAGAAGCTGCTCGGGGAAGATCGACTCCAGAAAGGGCACCAGGACGCCAATATCTGAAGCCACGGAAGGAAGCCGGATGACAACTAGCCAAGGGTGCTGGTAGGCAGTCACCACCCTGTAGACAATGTGGCCCTAGTGAGGTTAATTGGTTGGTTAGAACCACTATGTAAACCGCCCAGAGACCCTTCGGGGTCAGGGCGGTATATAAGCCGAAGGTATAAATAAATAAATAAATAAATAAATATGTTTATGGCTTTTCGGACTTAAATCAGAATAGCGGTTGTTTCAGGAAGGAAATGTGGAACTCATAAAATGTTGGGCAGGAACAGGAGTTCAGGGACAGAGGGGAAGACATTGGGAATAAACCTTCTGAGACAGGGCTCCTCGGGTTTCCATAGGGATTCCAGCTCCAGGTTGGGGAATAGCTCAAGATTTAGGGAGTGGAGCCTGAGGAGGGTGGGGCCGGGGAGGGGATAGGGTTGCCAGGTCCTACGTTGCTGTCAGCGGGTGGACTCCCAATCCTTTCTGCTGCCCAAAACTTAGAGTGTTGCTCCCAGGTGATGTCATCAGACCAGCACCGGTGCTGCCAGGAGAAGGGCTTCTCAGGGGTGAGGCTTCCCCTGCTGGCCAGCTGGGCTGCGGCAGATTGGAGCCCCTAAAATTGGAGGGTCCCCTGGCCACACCAGGGGAATGGCAAGCCTAGGAGGGGAAGGAGTTCAATGAGGTATAATGCCACATATCCACCTTCCAAAGCCGCTGTTTTCCCCAGATGAACTGATCTCCGCCACCTGGAGAGAAGCTGTAATCCCAGGAGATCACCAGACCCCACCTGGAGGTTGGCAGCCCTAAGTGCAGCAGTGCTTGTTGTTGGGTGTATTTGGAGGCTGGCAGCCCTATGGACACAGGTAGCCAAGACTGGGGGCAGACGGGGACCTGGCAGCCCTGTCCGTGAAGACTCCCAGTGTCAGGTTCAACAGCAAGTAAATCTCCACACACGTTTCCAGGGAAGTGTTATGCTTTATTAGACTACAAGTCTGTTACCATGTCCACAAGATTATTGTTAGGAATGACCATGGGGCGGAAACATCCCTACATATAGCAGGATGAGGCAAATGGCGAAGCAAATGAAATTTGAGCACGCGGGCAAGAATTCTCCCGGTGGGAGGTTACATGATAAGCGGGAGAGTCTCAATGCCCCATAAGAGCCGAAAAATTCACACCTGTGGTGGAACGCAAGCCCTCCCCCCGTCACAAGGTCAGACAGATAACTCAGTCTGGCAGCACTGGTTCTCACGGTCTCCCTATCGCTGTTTACGGCAAGCGGCAGAGCAGCGAGCAAGCTATGAGGCATGCGTCGTAGCGCCAGGATCAGAGAAGGGAACAAGCAAAACATGGCGGCTAACTGACACCCAGGAGCCCTGCAGTTTGCTTCAAGAAGGGTGTGCGGTTGAGCTCCTAAGTCATGTAGCTGCCCTGCTGCCGCCCCCACAGCTGCAAAGCTTGGAGTCTTGCTGGATGGTCTCCAGCAGCTTCACTCTCCATCTTCTCTCGGGCAGTCAAAGACATGATGGAGCTGTGATTTCTTGGTCGAGGAGTGTAAACCTCACTTCAGAACAAAAGGGCCGTGTTGAATCCTCTTCCTCAGAGCGGTCCGGAAAGTACTCTTGGTTGAATAGAACCCCAGAGAAGACAAAGGCAGAAAGTTGCTGATCAACTTCTGGAGATGTCTCCTATGCAGCTGAATAGAGTGGAGGTCAAGGTGCTACCTGGAATCTGTGACCTCCCGACTTTTGACGTTTGCCTGGGATTAGTAGGCTGATTGGTCATGTTTTGGGGCCAGAGATGAGGAAAGACTGTACGACTCACTGTCTTTGTTATGTATGCAGGTCTCCACGAGGGGCCTGCAAGAAAGAGAGGAGCTTGGCTCCACAAGACAATGGGGACCCTGGATCCTAGCTCCCTCCCAGCCGACCAATAGGCTCCTTGGCGGGAAATTCAAACCCTCCAATGGAGTGGGAGGCGCTAGGCCGGGTGTGTATATAGTTGGCCTTGCAGGGCCGTTGTTTGTCTTATGTGAAGTACTCAATAAACGTGTGCAACCGCATGTCGTCGTCCGAGTCCTCCATGCGGCGAACCCAGTACTTTTCAGTCTTGTCGCCATTGACAAAACACTTACATAGCCCCTGAATGGTGCAGAGAACTCCTGCGTGACATTCATTGATGACAGAAAATTTGGCTCTGCTCTTCTCTCATTCCTCGCTGCCATTCTGCCTCCCATTTCTGAGAATAGCTATTCTCTCCTCCCCCCCTTCACTTGTCAAAAGAGCAAGCTGGTGTGCATTATTATGAACCTTTAATTAACAAGCTGAAAAGACATTTTTCTGGCAATGCCTGACCTTTAAGCACTTTGTATGAATTTATTGATACCAGCAGAAACAATAATTTAAAAGGTTATTTTATGACCATGGTATAGTTTATAGCAGCACTTTTGTCAAGATAAATGAGTTTCTTATTACTACATTTATGGTGCTAAGCATTTTAATAAAAAAAAGAACTATAAAAGTCAAAGATAACTTCAAATCTCTTCTCTATCTGCAGCCTACATGCAGCCAATGATGACTCCCTGAAACATCTATGTTGGAATGTGTATTAAAGATAGAATGGGGGACTGGTAATAGAGGGCAGGCAGAAAATCTCAAAAGAATCCTAAGCAGAAATGTTTTGGAAAATCGTGAATGTCAAACTGAAAAACTTGAGGGAGCAATCCTGCTCAGAAGTCCCATTTTATTAAATAGGATTTATTCCCAGGAAACTGTTAATTGGACTGCAGCCTTAACTTTTCACACACAAAGGGCTTTCTGATTGTACAAACAGAAATGGAAATCTCTAGGCCTTTCAGATTTTTTAAGGGAAAAGATTTGCACTTCCTTTAGACCAGCACCAATTCTGTGCTAGTTTGTGTAACCTGATCTCACATGCTCGAAGTGTGGCCATGCCTTCGCTGTACTCATTATTGCCATCTATCTATCTATCTATCTATCTATCTATCTATCTATCTATCTATCTATCTATCTATCTAATGCAGGGGAGGCGGCGGAGATCCTTGCACTTGCGTCGCCCCCTCCCACCTCTCCTCCCTCTTATTTTGTTTTTTTTGCATGCGTGAGTCAGGCCTGCCGCCGGCTGCCCATTGACGAACTCCCCTCCCTCGCCGCTGCCCCGGAGGAGGAGAGTTAGTCCACAGCAGCCGAGGAGGAGGAGGAAGGAGGGAGGAGGGCAGGGCAGAATCATGAAAAACACTCTGCAGCCGCAGCCAGAGCAAAAGCGGCTGCTGCAGCAGCAACAGCAGC